AGGTCATTCAAGAGACGTGATGAGAGCGAGCGCTGGATCCAGGAGGAGTTCGGGACGTTCATCGGCGCGCCATGGAACCCTAGGACCCCGACGACGGAGACCCCAGTGGTGAGCACGAGGCGGAGGTACCTCACTCGCGCCCTGATTCAGGAGCACGGCGAGAGTCCTGACTGCACGGCCTGCCTGTGGCTGTCCAGCGCGCACGCGATCGCGCGCAGGGCTCGCTTCGAGGAGATATTCAAGAAGCAGGCTGAGCAGCTGATCCAGACGCAGCGGGCGAGCGGCGCAGGCGGCGCCGAAGTCCCGAACCCAGGACCTCCAGGAGGAGACCCAGGCCCCCAGAGCAAGCCAGGACAGCCACAGGCCATCGGCGCACCTCTAGGGCTGGAGCTGCCTACGGCCAGTGGCCCGAAGCGCGAAGGTGACACAGTCCACGGCCAGCAAGGAAGAGGCCAGTCATCGACGTGGCCCCCGCTGCGCCCATGGAAACCGACCCAGAAGCGGAGGCCATGACCCTCGGCGCGCTCTGCGAGGAGGAGGCCCCGGCCCCGACCTTCGGCGAGAGGTTGGTTGCGGGCAGCTTCCACGACCAGCACACTGGCGAGGTCCTCCCGAAGGAGCTGGTGCTGGAGGGCGTGAAGCGCGAGCTCGACGAGATGGAGGAGTTCGAGGTGATGGTCTAGAAGAAGCGAAGCGAGAAGCCAGCGGGGGAGAGGGTGATCTCCACCAAGCTCTTCCACACACGGAAGGGACCAGACTGCGTGCGATCACGGATAGCCGCACGAGACTTCGCAGGAGGCGTCTTCGCACCAGAGCTCTACACAGGGACACCTCCGACATGGGCGCTGAAGCTAGTGATCTCGAGACTGGCATCGCGTGGAGAGTCAAGGCAGCTTGCATCGCACGACATCTCGGTGGCATTCTTCCATGCGCAGCTGAAGGAGGCAGTCTGGGTTGAGCCGCCGAAGGAGCTGAACTGCCCAGACTGGCTTTGGCTCGTGAGTAAGGCACTGCACGGGATGCGGGAGTCAAGCGCTGACTTCCAGGAGCTGGCGCGGGACACGTACCGAGAGCACGGCTGGAACATATTCTCGAGGGTGCCCTGCCTGGAGCATCACAGCGAGTGGGGCTGTCTGCCGGGGTTCCACGGCGACGACTTCTACACCGAGGGCGAACCGCAGCAGCTGGACAAGGTGGACGCCATGATCACGGGGAGCTTCAAGGCCAAGATCCCCCCGAGGGTTGGGCCAACCGCCGACGACAAGGGCTCGGTCCTACGGCGGCTTCTACTGTGGAGCCCGAACGGGTTCACGCTGCTGCCTGACCCGAAGCACTTCGAGAACCTGAGCACGCTGCTGGACCTGAAAGGTGCGAAGCCGCCCCAGATGCCTGCTAGTCGAGCGACTGGCAAGAACGCACGAGATGCACTCGAGGAGCTGAAGCGTGCCGAGAAGGCGATCTACTGCAGGGGCACGGGCATATGCATGTACATCGGCCCAGACCATTTCGACATCCAGTTCGGCTTGAAACAGCTGGCATCAGATATGGCACATCCCACGCGTCTGATTTTTTGTCAGCGACCCCCTGGGGGCCTGAACGATTTTGAAACAACACATCAGCACAGACGGCCGATGACGACCAGTGCTCAGCCGCTGAGCACGTTTAACGCACAGCACAGCGGATGAGGGACAGCTAGCGGGAAGAAAAGGACGGTCCCGAAGGGCCCCAGATCTAGCCCACCACGCCGTCCAACAAAACCTGGCCAAGTTGCGTCGCTCGCGGCCGCAGCAGCAGGCCTTGCCACCGCTGACGCCTCGCGGGCCTGAATGCGCGCCAAAAGCGCCGCCATTCCTGCCGTCTCTATCAGCCCTGACGGCGAGAGCGGTTGGCTGACGTCGGGCGGCGGAAGCCGCTGAGACGCGTAGCAGAAGAGCGCCACTCCACGCCTCGAAGACTCACTCACCGTGCTGTCGTCACGGTAGTGCGGATAAACTCCAGAAAAGATACGCCTCAGCGTGGTGGCACCTCCTGCCAATCTGCGCTGGATGCACTCCTTGCCGAGCATGTGGCAGCGCGCGGAGGAGAACGCTCCGCACGCGGCGCAAAACAAGAGGGTGAGCCTCTGCCCACCCTTACTCACAATGCAATGCGCAAGGGAGTGCCCCAGGGACCGATCCAAAACGCCGCGCCAAAGCCTGCTGGGTCCTCTACATCCCAACATGGGTCGCGCCTCCAGGTCCGTGGAAAGACACAGGAAATGCAAACATTCAGCGCAACCCTGACCAATATCTTGCCAGGAATGCCACCCCCCCGATTTGTTTTGTTTTTATTTTTTCTTTTTATGTTTTTTTATTTTATTTTTAAAAAAAAAGAAGAAGAAGAAGAAGAAAAAAACAAACAAAAAAAAAAAAAAAAAAAAAAAAAAAAAAAAAAAAAAAAAAAAAAAAAAAAAAAAAAAAAAAAAAAAAAAAAAAAAAAAAAAAAAAAAAAACTCGGTCCTGTGGGCTGACGGTCAAACCTCTCGGGAGGAAAGATGGCTAGCACGGTACCCGCCACTCTCGCCGCAAAAACAAATAAATCACACGTCCTGTCCACCTCCGTTCTTTCATGAACACTGGGTTGAGGATGGAGGAGGAGAGCTTGCTTGGCCAGGGCGTCGGCTTTCAAGTTGCCTATGCCGATCCGTCTCTCGTGCGCTGGCAGGGCGTCCAGAACAGCACGCGCGCGGTGCGCAGGAGTGTGGTACACCGACGGGGTAAGGGACCTTTCATGCAGAAGGGCACCTCTCCGAAGGCCAGCATAACGATGTTTATGGAAAACCTGGTATTCCCGCGTAGCCACACAGATGCGCACCATTTTCATGCAATCGGTGTGGCGGTCGCCGCCGCTGCTCTTAAACATCGGGAGCAAGGCCACGCACAGGTGTTCCGCAGCTTGGGAGGTCTGCGGGACAGTAGATGGACAACATATTCGAACCCTCACACATTCGAGGGAGATTCTGAATCACCCCCGCGCCCCCGACATCAATGTTGATCTCAGCAAAGGCGGTGCTTTGGGGTTCGAATATTTCTGTCCACTCACGCCCCCCCCGTCGCCACGCCATCAATATTAAATTCGGGGGTTCGGGGGGGCATCTTGGGCCACAGGGTTCGAATATAATGTCCATGTACGGGAGGACTGAAAGCACCGTGCCTTTGGCGTACGCAATAATAGTGTCACCTTCGCCCAAGAAAACCCAAGAGTGGGCCGCCCTGGACAGCTCCCTGACGGCATGGCGAAAGGCCGAGCCTTCCATGATGACATCGCAACCCGAGAGGTCCACAGAGCCCCAATCAAGAATATCCCCTTCGGGCGAGTACAGGGTGGGTTGGGTGGCCGAGGACGGAAGGGGGATAGGAGGCCGCAGGGTGCTCCCACTTTAACTCATCGAAGAACAGACGGTCCTGACTTCCAAGAGCTTCGTCCAGCCATTCGACGGGAGCCTCATCCGTAACGCTTTTCCGAGCCGCGACGGCCTCAGGGTGAAGGCGCTGCCAAACGCGGTGCCGCACACTATCAGACATCCCACACTTAGGGCATCGCCCGTCGCACGAATATCCAGCAGCCTGAGCCCTCGCACGGGTCCACACCCCTTTGCAGAAGACGCTCAAAGCCAGGTACTTTTGCTGAGGGTTGAGTTTCCTTCCCTTGGGGCCCAACAAGGTTTTGAGGGGATCCACACAAAACCGAACACCGTCAGCTCCAGGGGTGTCCTGGTACAAAACACGCTCGTGCTTACGTTGGACAGCCAACTGCAACATGTGGGCCAGCATCGCAGGCGAGGTGTAGCCCAGATGCACCTCACGACCGTAGTCGTCTTCAAAAGTGAGGGGGGTCACCGACTTCCACCCTATCCTAGCCAAAGACAGGTGCATGCGCTGCAGAGGTCCTCGTGATGATCGCCACGTGACCTTGTCATCAAAGGGAACAGCACGCGGCCCGCGGCATGATCCACCGAGTGGGCTGCGGGCGGGTGCGATACCTACAGACACGCTATCTCTGGCACCAGCAGGCGCTGAGGGAGAAGCAGTTCGAGATCGAGCGAGTCGACGGTAAGAAGAACCCGAGTGATGCAGGGACGAAGGCGCTCGACCAAGAGGCGCTGCAGGCCTGCATGACGAACCTCGGGATCGTGAGCAGGACCGCGGCGGGCTTCGGGACGGACGAGGCCGCCCAGGTCCTGGCGGCGCTGTTGCTGTGTGCGACGGTTCGGACCGCCTACGGATCGGACGTGAGCACCTGCACGGCGGGTGCGAGCCAGACGGAGATCTACGGCACGATGATCAAAGTGTTTGTGACGATCATCCTGATCGCCGTGGGCTTCGTGACGGGCGTGCTCTACGAGAAGTACATGATGAGGGAGCGCCGCGAGGAGCGCCCCGCTTCAGCCCGCCTGTTGTCAGACTCAGCTGTACCAGCTGAGCCAATCCCCACCCGTTGCCAGGAGAAAGGGAGCCAGGCCCCTTGCACGTACGCCAGGAATCGTACCCAGCCCCGTTTCGTTCCCCGGCCAGAGCACTCATGGGGATAGGTAGGCTCCCGCACACAGTGTTGGGTGAGAGGAGTTGGCGAGAGGCTGTTGGCCACAGCCCACTAGATGATATAGCTGCAGGCTGCAAGAGACATACAGACCGGTATAGCGCGTTTTGAGAAGCATGCTTTGATGTTTTCGGGCCCAGAGCGGATCGGATTGATCACCCGACGATGCCCTGGGGCCCCTCCTGCTTTTCAGGGAGCAAGTTGCTGACGACAGCTTGCACCCTCGGGGTGCCGCGCTGAGGAGGCGTGCAGACAGCCGAGCAACGTGCGACAGCTTGTGAAGCAGGTTGTCCGCAGCCATTGGCTTGTCAAAATATCCAGTCCAGGAACCGTAGCAAAAAAAAAAGACAGAGAGAGAGAGAGGGACAGAGAGTCAAGAGAGGAAAGGGAGGGGAAGACAGAGGGAGGCCCCCGCCACCCGCCCGGGCGGGGCGGCCAGCCTGCGGGTCTGCCACATCGCGGTGGTCGTCCTGCGGAGTACTCCTGGCGGGCACTACAAACGGCGAGCCGCTGCCATGCTCTCGGCACTCCGTTTCCCAGTCCATCGATACCTGTTTGTCCCTCTGAGGGCGACGGAATCTATACAGATTCACTGCCCCAGGCCTGGCCCATCCTGGACCCAGGAGCGGTGAACACACCCTCCTGGCTATGGCAGGGAGGCATATACACCGTTCCTGGGCTAAGGATGGGCCAGGCCTGGGGCAGTGCATAAAAATGGATCTCATTGCCCTACCTCTGTTCAGCACCCCCCATCAATCTCTCTCTCCCTCCGGTCATTGCCCCTCCCTCACCCTCCACGTCCTTCGGATGATTACCACTGGGTCAAAGACTACTGACCATATCGAAAAGGGTTCAACTCAAGATGAAATGCATATCGACCGCCTGATTGCACCCAGTTGACGACGCATTGTGGACCACAAAGCAGTGTCCGCGCTCGCTTTCGACGTCGCACACCACATTCACAATAATAGTAATACTTGAGGCGAGGTACCCGCGCACTGTCTTGGCGTGCTTTTTCTCGATGTCTGGAGAATGCCTTGACATGGGAAACAAAAAAGGCAAGACACACATGGCCTCCAAAAAATACTGTGGGCCCCGTGAGAAAAACTCACAAGTATGTTTGCGTCGATTGTCGCATTGTGAGCGGCGAAAACTGTTGTCACTGCTTAGCTCGAAGACATGGAAAGTCGTAGGATGATGTCGTGTACGATTTGGATGTGGAATCCCAACCTCAACTTGGGTGGCTGGCCCGTTCCTCCGACACGCGGCTGAATCCAAACCGCGGAAGAGGCGCAGCTGGCCACGTATGTCTCGAATTGACGTTCTTGTGAAAAAGGTGCGAAATTAGAGCCACGAAACGCGCGTTGGCACATCAGGGCTCGAAAAACGGAACGGTGCAGGACGACGGAGGCGGAATAGGAGCATGGAGGCCACCGCAAGAGCGGCGCCAAGACGGCCGTGCCGCGAGTGCGAGCGGGTGCCGACGGCGGGCTGAGCCGACGGAGAGGGTGAACAGGGCGAAACCCACGGGAGAGGACCGGCAGAGAAGGACTGGGAGGTGCGGCGAGAGGTGCCAGAGAGGAGCAGGTGGCTGGGATGCCCGGCGAAACCTACTGCGTCCGGTCCTCGCCTGCAGGTCCACCGACAGGCCAAACCAGGAGAACGAATAGCGCAGAATCACCCGCCGAGGGAGCACGGCAGAGACATGAAAATGCAAGAAGTCGAGGGATACACAGAAGGAGAGGTGGCTGGGATGCCCAGCGAAAATTCACCTACATACATACATACATACATACATACATACATACATTCATACATACATACATACATACATACATACATACATACATACGTACATACGTACGTACGCACGTACGTGCGTACATACATACATACATACATACATACATACATACATACATACATACATACATACATACACGAACACGCACAATATCCCACCGCATGCCCCATCCTTGCTTCTACATCTGGTACTACGTTCCGTAAGCCATGTCCGTATCGCAGAAAGATGCCAGAAACTGCCGCGATCGTCAAGAAATCCGCAAGCGCAAATGCAATTGGAAAGTCATGATCTTGCGACTGCGTCCGTTGCCTTTCAGGTACAGTGGGTAAAGTCGTTTGCGAAACAACACATTCAAGTACTTCGCAAAATAGCCGCAACCGTGCTTTCAGCGCGTAGTGGAGTCGCCCAAGGCTCATACAGATGTGAGTGGTAGAGGAATCGTATAGTTCTTAAGAGCCTGGACCACCAGTTTTCCTGAATTCCTGGGCGCTCTTGGGCGTTTCTGGCGTGGCGCGTCGGCCTCCAGGAGCCCGCCAAAAACGGACTCCGACATCCCCCAAAAGCCTTCCAATAAACATTACGAAAGGCTGAAAAACCCTCAATGGCCCCAGGGACCCGTCCGGGGGCCAGCTCACGAGGGGGCCAGCTCAAGAGGCGGAAATCATTGCACATTCTGAGGTGCTTGTCTGCTCCTCGCTCACATACTCGGATGGTTCTGTCTTCAGAGTTTCCAAGACGGCCTAAGAGGCCCCCAAGACAATCCCAAGTAGAGCCACGAGGCCCGCAAACGGAGCCCAAGAGGCCCCCAAGCGGCCCCAAAGCGGCCCCCAGGAGGGGCCCAAGAGAGGCCTGGAAGAGAGAACTCGAAGGGGCCGATGGGGCCCCACACACCCCAAGATGGTTTCCGAGGCCGCCTGCAGGACGCAAAGAGGCCCCCCGAGGTTCCCAGGACCCCAGGAGGCTCCCAAATGGCCTTCAGGAGGTCTCCAAGAAGCTCCCCAGAGGCTCCCGTAAAGTCTCCAAGAGGTCCCAGGAGGCTTTCCGAGGGGCCCCGAGAGGCACGTACTAAGTGTTTCCTCCACGACCCAAGCACGGTCACGGGATGGGTCGAAAACCACAAGACACCACTCCGTGTGTGAGCGAGCAACTCTCTGAATTGTGATTAGCAGAGCACCGTCCAACTGAATGTACAGCTGCGTGTCAAAGCAAAACTGGCGTTTGAAATGCAAGAAAGAATTGTCACACAGTGAATTGTGGAACGAGGGCACCTCTCGCCTCCCTCCCGCGTCTTCATGATCGTCATCATCATCATCCTCCTCCTCCTCCTCCTCCTCCTCCTCCTCCTCCTCATCATCATCATCATCATCATCATCATCATCATCATCATCATCATCATCATCATCATCATCATCATCATCATCATCATCATCATCATCCTCATCATCCTCATCATCATCATCATCATCATCATCATCATCATCATCATCATCATCATCACAGTCATCATCATCGCAATCAGCATAATCATCATCATCAGCATCAGCATCAGCATCATCATCATCACCACCATCATCATCATCATCATCATCATCATCATCATCATAATCGGCATCAGCATCACCATCATCATCATCAGCATCATCCTCATCATCCTCATCATCATCATCATCATCGTCATCATCATCATCATCACCATCACCACCACCACCACCACCACCATCATCATCATCATCATCATCATCAACATCAACATCATCAGCATCATCCTCATCATCATCCTCATCATCATCATCATCATCATCATCGTCGTCGTCGTCATCGTCGTCATCATTATCATCATCATTATAAGCATCCTCATACTCATGAGCATCGTCATCATCGTCAACAGTACCATCATCATCATCCTCATCATCATCAGCATCATCATCATCATCGTCATCATCATCGTCATCATCGTCATCCTCCTCATCATCATTACAATCATCATCATCACCATAATCATAATCATCAGACTCATCAGCATCATCAGCAGCATTAGCAGCATTACCATCATCATCATCGTCGTCACCATCTTCACCATCGTCATCATCACCATCATCATCAGAGTCATCAGCATCACCATCACAACTATATCAGTATCGTCGTCATCAGAATCAGCGTCATCAGCATCATCATCATCACCGTCGTCACAGTCATCGTCATCATCATCGTCCTGAGCATCAGCATCATCATCATCACCATCATCATCATCATCATCATCATCATAATCATCAGCAGCATCATCGTTATCGTCATCGTCATCATCGTCATCAGCAGCAGTCACAGCAGCAGCATAAGCCACAGCATCCTCATTAGCATCATCATAAGCAGTATCATCACGGCAACAATGAGCATCAGCATCAGCATCATCTGGATAATGAACCCTCATCACCGTCACCACTATCACCACAGTTTTCACATTCAATCAGAATCATCATCATCCTCATCATCATCGTCATCGCCATCATCATCAGCAGCCTCATCATCATCAGTATCATCAGTATCATCAGTATCATCATCATCGTTATCAACACCATCAGCAGCAGCATCATCGTCAGCATCATCAACAACATCATAATCAACAGCATCAGCAGTAGCATTGTCATCATCCTCATCATTATCATCACCCCATTCATCCATCAATCCATCTATCCAACCTCCTCCCGCCTCTCTCCCTACTCCTCCGATCTCTTCCTCACTCCTCGTACTCCCAGATAAACCTTCCTCCACCGCGCCCTCTTGCCCCTCTTGCCCCTCCCCCCTCCACACCAAGCTCCCCCCTCCTCCTCCTCTGTCCACCGAGCCCCGTCCTCCCCTCTGGACGCCCGACGAGGGCACGGAAATAATGGGCACAGTGCCCAACGACAAATTTCGGCCAAAATCGACAGCGGACGCCCTTGGGCAGGCGGCCTTCTGGCTCAAATTGGACAACGTCCGCGGCGACGCCGACAGCGAACCCTTTTCAAAATGCACAGGAACTGCGGTTCTTGGAGGGGCCAAGGCAAGTTTTACTGTCCGTCTTCGTTTGGCCGTTTTGCGCCTGTGGCGGCGGCGTTGTTTGTCCAATCCCGGCTCCAGCACCAATCCCGAAGCCGTCATCTCTCCGTGTCGGCGAACCGTGTTTGTTTACCGTTCTGGCGTTCATTCGCGAGAGCAAGATTTTTGCTAGAAGCGGTGAAACAAACACGGCCCTGCCGTTTCCAAGAACCACTATGGGAACTGCTGTCGGTCTTCTACAGGCCTTCGAAGTGGGGTCCGAGTAGATGGGGTCAGAGGATCGCGCCGCATCGCCAATGCATCGGTGGATTGGCGACGTCATGGAGAAAATCGGGCTCCACGTCGAGCCGCATGGCCACTGCATCGGCGAGGCGGTGCGATCCACCGTTCCCATCTACTCGCACATCATCTTGGAGGCCCAGGTCTTCCTACCCGTTCTTTCCATTCGGGAGCCTTGAGACGGGGGCACAGGCAAACGGGGGTCAGCCAGGGCGCCAAACCTTGCAGGATCTGCCAGGCCAGGGTCGCACTAACCCGGGTCATCGTGCAGAACCTCATCCAAATACCAGTTTCGATCGCGCCGATCCCCCCATCCACCTCCTCCCCCGCTCTTCCCCTGCCCGGCCCAGCCCGCCGCTCCCGCGCCCTCCCTCTGGCTCCCGGAGGCTCCACCACCGTCTGCCCGACACGGGCCTGGCCCAACCAGGGAGGTGCCCAGGGTAAGCCTCGATACGGCAGGTTCGTGTCGTGACGACTTCGGCCTTGGTCTCCGACACTGCGTGGATCGCTCAGCCTTGAACGGTGTCGGCGGCTTTTGAATCGCCAGCTCGCTCCTCATTGGCCGATCCTGGGCCACCAGCGGCGTTGAAGCTCGAACGCCCGCGGCGGCGTCACGACACGAACCTACCGTTGGTGGCCCGACCCCCATCGCACAGGTGGTGGATTCGCCGAGCGTGTCCTCGGGGCGGCCTCCAGAGGGCTGGTGGGGGCACCACACCTTCCCAACTCAAGTGCGAGGAGGTCTCAGGCGGGAGCCGCTGTTGCTGTCTGGCGGGGGCCCGGGGGCGCAGCTTGAGGATCAAGGCAATCCTCGGCAAACATGGTGCGAGCGCGGATGGGCGCGCTTCGATCGAGAAAAAAACGAGTCGCGCCAGACGGGGGGGGGTCATTATGAGCCCAGCCCAAAGGCTGCACGTCAATTTCGGAGCACAAAAGGCTGGACCGATTGGAGAAGTGCTCTCACGGAGAGCCTCCTGGAAGAGAGGGAGGGAAGAAGGGGAGAGGAGCAAGAGAGGGAAAGAAAGGAAGGGAGGGAATGAGGAGGAACAGGGAGGAGGAAGGAGGAAGAGGGTGGAAGGAGGAGGGGCAGAAATAGGGACCAGAAAGAAAAGGATCAGGAGCAGGGGCAAGAACAAGGGAGCACGGAAGGTGAACATGGAGAGGCGGGAGCGAAAGTAGGAAGAGGGGCTGAAAGAGGAAGGAAGCAAAATGGACATGGGAATGGGGGGAAGGGTATGCGCGATGATTGGGCGAAAGAAGGGAGGAAGGCGAGGCCGAGAAGGGGCTACAACATATCGCGGGTGAATGAGGCGCGCATCGGCGAATGGCGGTGATCCTCTTTCCCCGTAGGTATTCTGGCCCCCGGTAGCCAGCTAGGAGAAGTCCTGCGCGCACTTCATCTACACCCCTACTCGTCATCCGCCGATCCAGTCTCGTCAACTACGTCGGCATCAACATCATCGTCGTGCTCATCGTCATCATCGTTTCGACCAACTTTTTTCTTATCTTCAAATCATCGCCATCATCATCACCACCCTCGCCGTCACCATCAGTGTCGCCATCTATATCGTGCTCAACTGTATCATCGTTAACATCATCCTACAAGCCATCCCAATCCTCACTCTCCTCCGTCGTGGATTCTCCCTCGTCACCCTCCTCCTCCTCCCGCCCCATCCGGCTAATCCTGCTCCACCGCACTATTATGATTAGTGTTGCTATTGTTCCTCGACTTACTCCTCCGCCTCTGCGGCCTCATCGCCCTCCTTCTCTTAATACTCCTACTGCTACACGCCCTCCTCCTCCTCCTCATCCTCCTCCTCCTAGTCCTCCTCCGCCTCCCAGATCTCATCCCCGTCCTTATCCTCCTCCTCCTCCTCCTCCTCCTCCTCCGCCTCCTCCGCCTCCTCCTGCTCATCCGACTACTACCAATACTACAAATAAAACGACTACTACAACCAATACTACGAGAACGGATACCACCACTGCTGCTGCTACTACGACTACGACTACGACTACGACTACGACTACGACTACGACTACTACTACTACTACTACTACTACTACTACTACTACTACGACTACGACTACGACTACGACTACGACTACGACTACGACTACTACGACTACTACGACTACTACTATTACTACTACTACTACTACTACTACTACTACTACTACTACTACTACTACTACTACTACTACTACTACTACTACTACTACTACTACTACTACGACTACGACTACGACTACGACTACGACTACGACTACGACTACGACTACGACTACGACTACGACTACGACTAC